TTACAGTAACCCTATAGGACAGAGTAGAACTGCCCCATAGGGTTTATAAGGAGTAGCTGGTGGATTCAAACCGCTGACCTTTTTGGTTAGCAGCCTAGCTCTTAACCACTGCGCCACCAAGTCTCCCCAATGATATATATGTCTAGCTTTATCCCAGTACCACACTGACTTGTTTACTGTAGCTTTGTAGTAAGTTTTGAAACTAGGAATTATGAGTCCCCTAACTTTGTTCTTAAAAATTGTTTTGGCTATTTGGGGTCCTTTGCATTTTAATATACATTTTAAGATTATGCTGTCAATTTCTACAAAACAAACAAACAAAAAACTGTTGAGATTTTGATAGGGATTGAATCAAATCTATAGACCAGTTTAGGGAGAACTGCCATTGCTATAGTCAAATTTACTCAACGGCACCTAACAACAATAGTCATCTTAATACTGAATCTTCTAATCCATGAATATGGGATATCTGATACGCTTGTTTTAAAACATGCATGATACTAAAAAACTATTTTGAAACAATTCCAATATATCAATGATTCTCAGATAAAAAATCTATTTTCTGACTGAAAGGAGTTTTAAAATAAAGATATGCAAAAGAAATATTTGTATTAAAATTTTTTTTTAACTTTGAAAGAATCCCAAATTACAAAAAAGTTACAATTATAGTAAAAATAACTCTCCCCTCCCTAGACTCATTTGAGAGTGAGTCACTCACCTGATGCCCCAACAACCTCAAATACTTTAAGGTGTATTTCCAACAAACAAGTATGTTTTCTTCCATAAGCCAATTAATCCATCCAATCAAAAGATTAACTGATACATTTCAATCATCTAAACCTCTGAACCTGTTCAAGTTTTGTCAGTTGTCCCAATTTATCATGTGTAGCAAAAAGATACATTTCAGAGTTACACATTACATTTGTCAGTCTTCAGTCTCCTTCTCTTGGTACAATTTCTGAGTCTTTCCTTGAACTTTATGACACTGACATTTGTGAAGATTACAGACAATCATTTTGTTGAATGTCCTTCAATTTGGATTTGTCTGTTTTCACGTGATTAGATTTAAGATAAACATCTTTGGCAAGAATATTACAGAAGCGATGTTCTGTTTTCCTCATTGCAATCTATCAAGTGAGGTACCATTTAATGTGTTCCATTATTGATGATGTTCACTTTGATCACTTGGCTTAAGGCCAAGTGTAAAGTGCTCAAGTATGGTAAAGTTACTCTTTTCCCCTTTATAATTAATAATTGGCTAGTAAACAAATCCCTACTCTTTGTCAAAATTTCAATGTATTCGTTTATTTATATCTGAAAAAGTTGATAATATCCTATTTTACTCAAAGTGGCAAAATCTGTTACAATTATTATTTATTTTGATGCTCAAATTGGCCCCAATTTGGCCAGTGGGAATGCCTTCCAACTGGCTCGTGTGTCATTTTGCCATGTCTCCATCATTCTTTATTTCCTTGCTTTCTAATACAAAAAGTATTTCGAGGCTCATCTATTGCATTCTCTGTCTAAGGCCTGAAATCAGCCATTTCTTGAAGGAGCTCTCGTTCATTTTTAAGGAAAATAGTATTCAGAAGCCAAGATATGGGTGCTAGGTGTGCTTATTGCTATTGAGGTATGGCTACTTCTAGGTCCTTTAAGTGGGCAGATCCCACATACATAGAAACACACAGTTGCATCAACATTTATTTCTAAATCTATCAGTACATATTGAAAAGCATGAGTTCACAATAATACAACCAACTGCAATCCAACATCACAGGATTGATTCTAATTTTCTTTCTTTCTTTGTGTATTTATCGCTCCCTTTGCCTACATGGGAGGAATCTAGCTTCCATTATTAGTAAAACACATGCTTATTTGATTATTGCCCCTGTAGGAGACCAGTCTCTTTTCCCTGCTGCCACCCACTCCCTGTTTGCGCTCCGATTCCCCATCCTGGGCTGCCTACTGCACCCACACCCCTGTGCAAGCTCTGGCTCCCCGTCCTGGGCAGCCCCCTGTATCCACTCCCTGTGTGAGGTCCAACTCCCCATCCTGGGCTGCCCCCTGCACCTTCCTAGCCCTGCTTGTGCTCCAACACCCCATGCCAGGTAATTCTCCGTGTGGACGCTCTTTTCACTCAAGTGGGCTCTGATGCCTGAGCAGGGCCACCCTCATACGTAGATATTGTCCTTACCCTGCTTGGCCTCTGAAACTTCAATGCTGGGCCATGCCTCCATTGAGACGTCCTCTTAAACTCACTTGGGTGACAACTCCTCACCCTGGGCTGCTGTCCACCATGGACACCCTTCTCACCCTGCTTGGGCACTCACTTACATGACCCTGAGAGTGAGTGCCTCCCTAAATTTTACACCCTAGGTGCCTCTCATGCCTCACTCTAGTCTAGGGCCTGCTGAATGTGAATTATTTTTAACTTTCTGGCATATAAGAGCTAAGGTTTCTTTTTGTTGTTTTGTTTTTAAGCAGTTCCACTTGAACCTGTTTCTACACGGTGCCCTGGTGGTGCAGTGGTTAACAGAAACAGCGGCTAACCGAAAGGTCAGCAGTTCACATCCACCAGCCACTCCCTGAAACCCTATTTCTACAGAGGAGTTCAGAAAATGAAGAGGTTTACAGCTGTAATGTATCATTTTAGCATTGTAGGAGCAATCAAGAGATTGCTATGATTTTGTGACTCCTGAATGAATCTGCAGGAAAGAAGTTTATTAATTATAACTTCAGCATAATTCTCTCTGGACAATCTTTTTAAAGAGTCTTTATTACTATTAGTGGTTCACATTTGAAACTTACTTTCCCTGTTGATTTCATGTGACCTTAGGCTTCACCGGTACTTTGCCAAATGAAATAGACAATTGTCTTATAACATCAATAGTTGCAAATTGGCTTCTGCATTTCCTCCTAGGTTGGCCAAATATATCTAAAGTCACTTTGGCCTTATTGTTGAAATGGAATACTCTAAGCTATTTACCAAGGAAAAAAATACAATACTATTGCATTTTGGATTGAGGCAAAAATCATTACAATATTTCAATTTTTAAATTATATTTGCTTTCTCAAAACATTTAATTGTCCTAATTAGAATGCTAGAGTTTTCCAAAAATATGGGATTTTAATCCAATTTAATACTATTGAATATTATGAGTGTATTAGAAATAATTGTTTTAAAAGAGTGCTTAAAGACATAAGAAAATGTTTACTAAAGATTACTAAGAAAAAAGAAAATTATAACCAATTTCATGCTGCAATATCCCAGTTTCATATGCATGTATATTTACTTATAAAATTGTATGCATACTTAAATATTTATGGATAAAATAATATGATGTCCAGCATTTGTTTTAAAATATACATCATTAAAAAAAAACAGGAAAAAAAAGGTAATGGGTAGATGGAACAAAAATTGGCCTACTTGTTGAAGGTGAAGATGGATATGGGTGCTTATTAAACCATTCTTTATAACTCATTGCCATTGAGTCAATTCTGACTCATAGCGACCCTATAGAACAGAGTAGAAACCTCCAATAGGGTTTCCAAGGCTGTAATCTTTAGAGAAGCAGACTGATACATCTTTCTCCTAAGGAGTGGCTTGTGGGTTCAAACTGCTGACCTTTTGGTTAGCAGCCAAGCGCTTTAACCACTGTGCCACCAGGGCTCCCCATTCTTCATACACTCATATATATCTGAAAAGGTTGATAATAAAAAATAGTATGCTATATTAGAAAATACAGTCTGAAAGACTATATACACAACGTGAATACCAAAAACACAAACAAACAAAAAACAAAACCTGTTACTATCAAGTCGATTCTGACTCATAGCAGAACTATAGGACAGAGTAGAACTGTCCCATAGCGTTTCTAAGGAGTGGCTGGTGGATTTGAACTGCTGACTTTCTGGTTAGCAGCTGTAGGTCTTAACCATTGTGAAAGAGTGAATATTTATTTCGGACCACTCAGTAGTATGATTATTAGCGGCATTATTGTCTCCTTTATATGATTTTTGAGTTTCTCAAATTTCTATAATGAACATTCATCATATGTATAATCATAAAATAATATGCCAATAAACATTCATTTATTTCTCTACTTATTCATTCCATATATATTTGCCAAGCACTTGCTACGAACTAGGCATCAAGCTGGCTGCTGGCCACAAAGCGGTAGACAGTACAGAGTCTCAGCTCTCATGGAACTTGTCCCTGGACTTCCTTCAGCTGGACGCCCTCCTCCACATAAAAGCCAGGGAGAAGCCGAAAAGAGGATAGAGGCTGTAATGCCTACTGATCCAGTGAAAATTCTAGGCCAGTAATAAATGCTAGATTTTAAAGGCATAGGAAGGAATCTCAAAGCCTCTGATTTCAAAAAATATGGGTTAGCAATAGACCAATACTCAGAATGTCCCTAAAGGCTATTGTCTCCGTAGATTTCACCAAAACTTCACTGAGACTAATTTTTCTAGATGCTGTAGAAACTGCAATACCACCACAGGTACATCTGCTCTATGCCGAAGAGCAGGGTCAGTAAGAAGAACCCCAAGGAGGCAGGGTCTGTGCCATTCAGGGTCAGTAAGGGGAGCCTCAAGGAGGCAGGGCCTGTGCCATTCAGGGTCAGTAAGGGGAGCCTCAAGGAGGCAGGGCCTGTGCCATTCAGTCAGTAAGGGGAGCCTCAAGAAGGCAGGGTCTGTGCCATTCAGTCAGTAAGGGGAGCCTCAAGAAGGCAGGGTCTGTGCCATTCAGGGTCAGTAAGGGGAGCCCCAAGGAGGCAGGGTCTGTGCCATTCAGGGTCAGTAAGGGGAGCCCCAAGGAGGCAGGGTCTGTGCCATTCAGCTGCAGGTGATGCCTTCTGGAGGTGATGACCTCATCTCCTCAGGGCTGCCTGGCTGGGTCCAAGAGACGGTAGCACAGTCTCTGCATATGGCCTAGAATGGAGAGTGTATTTCTTTTTCCTTTTCTTTTTTAAAAAGATATTGAAGAGAAATCTCACCTGCAGAGGCACCAGAGGACAAATCCAAGTCCACAGTAAGGGTCCAAACAGATAGCCACTTCTCTAGAGGGATAAAGCTCACACTGCAACTTAATAGAACGGCAAAAGGCACTGGTGGCTGCATGAGACATCTGTAAGACAATAAGGCTGCTGTGAAAATGCCATAGTGTCTGACAACGAACGCACCCAAAGACATTTTTAGGACCTGGGGCAGCTGTATACAGGTTTGGGTCATGTGCTAGGAGAGGTGGGCTGCTGATGTTCTCATTAGTCTTCCAGCTTTCAATGAGGAAACCACACTGAAAACTTCTTGGTCCTCCAGGACCTAATAAGTCTAGCAATTGACACAATGATTATCATGCATTTAAACAGCAGTTTAGTACATAAAGACATTCTAGCGCAATCCCTACAACAACCCTGTAAAGTAAGTAGGAAAGATATTACCATCCATGTTCACCTCTCCTAGGCGGGCACCATGTCTTATTCATTTTACATCTCCTGGGCCTAACACAGTATCTGTCATACAATAAGTGGTCATAATACATGTTGAATGAGTAACTCCCCACTTTATTGATTAGAAAATGGATGCTCTGAGGAGTTAAAGAACTTGCTTAAAGCCATACAAATTAGAGTGGAAATTAGAACACAGGCCTTCTAACACCTAGCCCTCAGACGGACTAGTATTTTGAGGGTAACCAAAATCCAATCTCAGTCCCCCAAATCAATGCTACACACCAAAGAGCCTCCCTTGTCTTTCCCTTCACCAATCCCAGTAATATTCCTACTCTAGTCAGCATATAATGTGAATTATTTTAAAATACTATAACATATATCTCATAAAATCAATTTTCTTGTAGACACCTTCCAGCCAATCATAACTAAGAGGAAAAAGAAAGCAAAAAAGAAGCACAGAAAACTTCACCGAATTTCACAAGTGGTTTTCAAACATGTTCCAAGTTAATTTGAAGTAGCATTTCATAGAGCATTAAACTGTAAATGGGGAGCAGTGCAGAGCCCTATGATAATCAGGGAAGTTCAGCCAAATGCCTGGGAAAGGCTCATTAATCACTCCACCAAGAGAGACAGGAGACACTGGGTGTGAGGGAGGGGGTGGGAACCTTCCACTGTGAAAACATTGGATTATCGTTAGAAGTTCTGCCCCAAAGAAGGTTCCATCACGGACATTTACTAAATTCATACATGTAAATGTAGAATTATTCTAGAATATAAAACATAAGTAGCTCTTTTTAGGTTGCTTTCAAAGCCACAATCCATGTTTAAAGGAGAAGTAAATATTCCTACAACCTCCCATCTCCCAGGATCAGGAGTTAGTAAAATCTTAACTATCAAAATTACCTATAAACTGAGCTTAGCAACTAAAACAAATCTTTACTGAATCCTTTCCTCTGGGCAAGGTACTCTTTGCATCTTGAGAATAGTTTTTCAGCTCAGATCTGCAAATATAAATATATTAATTGAGTGCTTGCTATGTTGTATTAGGTGCTAGTAAAACATGGCCCCTGCCCTCAAGGAGTTTACAATCTAGTGGGAAATTCTCAGAGACACGGCAGATAACTGCAATATCTGCAGGTACTTTGTGTGCATAGAGTGTAAAGAGAGCAGAGAGAAAGGATGCTTAAATCAACCTGGGGGATTACAGAAGGACTCCTGGGTCTTGAAGGCCGAATAAGAGATAGTAGATTTCAACATGTAACAAGAATGGTAACAGGCTATGAAACAAGTAACTAAGAGAGTGGAAATGAGTAACTAAGAAAGTTGAATGTTCACTCTCTAAACTCAACTCAATCTTGGACCCTGCCAACATTATAAACCAAAAAATCCAAATAGAATATTTTTCTAGAGCCTCTTAAGATAAACTTCCAATTCTTATCAAGACAAACTCAGACTCAGATGAGGAATTAGTTTTCTAGAGGCCCAAAACAACAAACTAATGATCTACTCTAAAAGAGACATGGAGAATAGACATATCAACGTAGAGGAATTAAGGATGAGGTCCACTGTATTTATTTTTGGAATGCATGGTGTGACTTATCTTGGGCAGATTTACCTTCTAGTGCAGTTTTGCTTTGGCTGATGTTAAAATAAATGTCCATTCCCTGGGCACACATCAACTGCACACATAAGTGAGAGTGAGCAGGAAAGGTGTTCCAGAAGAATACTTGGTAGCAAGGGAAAGCCACCATGGGTTTTAAAATATCCTGTGGGGAAATCCATAAGGTGATTAAAGTAAACTGTAGATGGTACACGGGTCTTCTCTATGACTTCCTTGTTGATCTCAAGCAAATGTATACCTATGATCTATTAGGAACCTTCTGAGTTCAAATTCACACTTTTAAGCAGGTAGTATTATGAAATTTAAACATAAAAACATACACCTCATGGGTTTTACTCAAAATCAGATATTTTATAGTGCCCACTTTGGTTAACAGTTTACTGGACAAAGTTGTCTCTTCTAACTTTTATGGTAGTGATTGAACGCTCAATAATATTTTTGTCCAAAAGCTGAAATTAAATCAAAATCCATTTCCGAGTAAAATGGTTACCTTTGTAATCCACAAGTCACAGAAATGGGAGGAGACTATCAGCCAGAAGATTTCAACTTTACCTTATACCTCTTAGTATTTAAACCACATGGATTTTTCATTACTCAGTATTACAGTATATTTTACTTCAAGTATGTATCAAAAAAGTCAAATGGCCAAAAATTCAAGACAAACTTTTATAACTTTGAGAGAAATTCTAGTTATTCATCTCTCTGACTTTTCTAGGGTCTATACTTAGATTGGAGCCCTGGTGGCAACAGTGGTTAAGAGCTACAGCTGCTAACCAAAAGGTCAGCAGTTCAAATCCACCAGCTGCTCCTTGGAAACGCTATGGGGTAGTTCTACTCTGTCCTATAGGGTCACTATGAGTCGGAATTGACTCAACGGCAATGGGTTTTGTTTTTTTTTTTGGTTATACTTAGATTAGGATCCTGGCTGCTAACCAGAAAACTGGCAGTCTGAATCCACCAGCCGCTCCTTGGAAACCCTACGGGGCAGTTCTACTCTGTCCTATAGGGTCGCTATGAGTTGGAATTGACTCGACAGCAACAGGTATAGTTTATTTATACTTAGATTAAGGAGTCCCTGGGTGGCGCAAACAGTTAAGCACTTGACTACTATTTAGACCCTAAGGTTGGCGGTTCCAACCCACCCAAATGTGCCACAGAAGAAAGGCCTGGTGATCTTGAAAAGGTCACAGCCTTAAAAACCCTATGGAGCAGTTCTACTCTGCAACATGTTGACTCAATGGCAACTGGTTTGGTTTTTTTGGTTTCATACTTAAGTTGAATCATCAAAAAGTAACAAACTTAGATCACATTATTTCTGTTTCATGCATCCCTGTTTTGTGAAAAATATCTTTACTGAATTCAAACTTAATATCATAGACCCACTTCTGTAGACATGAAAATGGTATGATCAAAAGTATGTGTTTCCCTTGGGGGTATGACAGCAGGAGGCTCAAGGCTAATTTCAGTACTCTAGTAACTAATTCATCTTGGTCTGAAAATATATGTTTCTGATTCTTTAAAGCTTTTGAAAAATTAACTTATTTTATATTGTACTTAATTTGTTACATTAGCTCAAATTCTACTAAAATGTAGATAGAGTATGAAAATTAAATGACGAAAATAATGCAAACTCACCACTCAGACCCTAGAAGTCAGAGATACTAGGAAAAGGACGTCTTGTGGCTACAGAAGAATCTAATCGCTCAGTGTTAAACCTCCATGAGGACGTGCCCTAAGCTTTAAGGACTATAATTCTGGGTGGCACAAGCAGTGACTCCATTCTTTGCTAGGAAAAACGATCACTGCAGTTTAAGGGGAAGCCCTCTGGCAGGTTACAATGGAGCTCCAAACTAAAACAGCAAGCAGCTTCAGTGTACAGAGTTTCACAAAAGGCAGAATACTGGGGTTGGGAACCAGCAAGAAGGAAGCAAATATGCAGTGATCTATCATGGGTTAGTGAGGCTTTGCTTACAGAAAAAATAGTTGGGATGTTTCCAGAGACTCAGTCATCCTAGCTTGCCAATCAGACAGAAAAACTGAAGTAGGCATACATTTTATAGCTTGAATGAAGCTATAGCTTCATTTATAGAGCTTCAGGTTTCAGCGAGAGTACCACCAGAATCATACTGCACATGAAAATATAAACTGATAACAAATGCATGGCTTGTGAACTGTATCACTCTGATTATGCTGACTGTACATTTCTCACCTTTACTCCAGCTAGCATCCCAGTTGTGGATACACTAAAATCAAGATAAGCTAGTGTATCTGGGTTGGAAGGCTTGTAGGTCTGGGCAGGCCGCTTCTTTGGCAAATCATCTGGAGATAAAAACAAAGCTATCAGTGTGTCTGACCTAATTAAAAATATATATATAAGCAAACAAACTTCCAAGGCAAACTTAGACCAGTTTCAAATCAGATCCAACTAGTTAAAATACATACCTGTGTCCAGTATGGGGGGCCATGTCCTGATATCCACAGCTGCTGCTGCCTCTCTGGACCGTAACAATTTACATATTAGTTGTGTTGTCATTAAACAGGCTGAGCGACTCACCTGAGGGTCACAGAACAAAGTAGGTACACTGAAGTCCATATGAGAATTAAGCAGGATGGAGTGAATGAATGTAAACCACAAATGAAAATATTTATTGCGTGCTCATCAGGCATATACCAAATGTAGCTCTTGATAAGCAAGTTAGATTACCATGAGTAGTGCTTCTTCTTTAAAGACCCAGTCTTGAATAGCTGAGGCACCAGATAGCTAGGAATCTGATTAAGGGAGCACATAGATGAAGCAAGTGGGGAATGAGATACCTCTACATGTGCTCCTTGGAAATTTCTATAGCTGACTAGGTAGTCATAGTGTTGTGATCCAACTCAGAAGAGCATCTAAGCTAACTGCTCTCACCATTAAACCTACTGCCATCCAGCTGATTCCAACCCGTAGCAACTCCATAGGGTTTCCAAGGCTGTAAATCTCTACAGAAGCAGACTGCCACAACTTTGTCCTGTGGAGCTAATGGTGGTTTCGAACCCCTGATCTTTCAGTTAGCTGTTAAAAGCTTGAACCACCACACCACCAGGACTCTCATCTTTAGCTCTGTTAATTTTCATCTGTTCTAGTGTATCTATTACAAATGTTGCAAACGTCCAAGGACATAATAAATATTTTCTAACAGGAGTAGCCATCATCATGAAAATACTCCAACATAACTACATAAAGTACTAACTTTTGGGACAGAACGTTAGTATTCTCTATTCCCAAATCATTTTGTTCCTTGTGGTTCTCCTCTAAGCGGGGAGGGGGGAGAAGATCGTAACCGTCTTAAACTTTCCCATGAGTAAAAACAAAACAAAACAACAACAACAAAAAAACCCAAACAAATCTACAGTTTCAAAAAAGAACAGGAGACTCCTAAAACTTAAGGAAAACCTTTTTTAAATGTATTACATTTCCGCTTGGTTTGGTTAGCTCATTTGGGTTTGGTACAGTAGCTCACAGTAATATTAGTAACGCTCGAACTGCCCCACAGGGTTTCCAAGGCTGTAATCACAGCAGACTGCCACATCTTTCTCCCCCCGAGCGGCTGGTGGGTTCGAACTGCTGACCTTTTGGTTAGCAGCCGAGCACTTTAACCACTGTGCCACCAGGGTACCTTAAATTTCAAATTCCTGGAGTAGTTGTCATACCACTTGGCCCTTTATTCCATATAGAAATTTAAATCTTGCTTCTAGAATTAGATTATAAGCTCCTTGAAGACAGAGACCATATGATGTCGTATTGTGTGACTCCACAGACAGATACTCCCATAGCCCATACAGCACAACCAGCACCCTTCACTAGAAGATTTCACAGTCTATATCCGCTGCAGTGAACACAGTATAACTGATCTACAAGCTTCAGATCCAGGGGTCAGGTGGAACTACTCAAACATTCCCAGATCTTTGTTACCTCCACGATCATCTTTACAGTTGGTAATGTTGTTGAGATGTTCTGTGGATGTGGAGGGCGGACTGTTATTGGCACGCAGCCTGCATACAGGCAGCCATAAAATGCGGCAATCAGGTCTATTCCTACAAAAGGGAAAAAACAAAAAATTTTACTTGAAACAAATCAAACTATTTAATGGCAATCATCCCTGTCAACATAAATACTATTATGGAATAAATTAAAAGGTTAAGCAAGCAACTAAGCCTTCTAAGAGATTCCTTGTTCAGTCCCTGCAGGGTTTTGCTAAGCTTCAGTGATCACTTTTCTACGGTCTGTTCTTTTAGGCATGAGATGCCAAAGATGCCCAGAAGTTTAATTTCTATGTAATTTCTGTAAGGAATTACTTGACTTAATGATTATCAGTTTAGTAGTTAAAGTTTTAACCACTATTAATTAAATGAATTGCATCAGATGTCTAATAAAACAAATTTAGGTACAAAAATCTTTGTAAAATGTTACTTTATTTAAGCCTCTAAAAGTATGTAGCATATTCCCTACATGTGGTAGTAACTAGACACAAGGGAATGCAGTTAGAATCAAATTGGATACAATGTGAATATGCTGTGATAATACAGCAACTCTATTCATCAAGCACCACTGTGCAATAAAGTGCCTCTTCATCTAGTTGCTTGGATTGCCATCTCTCTGAGGTTAAACATAAGCCACATTTCTTTACCTGGTGGGTAGACTAAAGCAACATGATCTCCATCTTGCAAGTGCCCTCTTTCCATCAGCATCACGGCTATCTTCTCAGCTCGTTTATGAAGCTGGACACAAGTCAATGAGTTTGCTATTGTACCCTGAACATTAGAAGGACAAGTGGTTCAGTAAGAATTTTTTAAAAATAACATCTTTATTGAGATATAATTCACATACCATACAATTCACTTATTTAAAATGTTTAATTCAATGGTTTTCAGTATATTCAGAGAGTTGTGCAACCCTCACCACAGTTTTAGAACATTTTCATCATGACCACCCAAAAATCTCATACTCATTAGGTTTCCTGGCTGGTGCAAACGGTTAAGCACTTGACTACTGACCAAAAGGTTGCTGGTTCAAACCTACTCAGAGATGCCTAAGAAGACAGGCCTGGCAATCTGTTTCTGAAAGGTGACAGTCTTGAAAACCCTATAGAACAATTTTACTCCACACACGTGGGATCACCATGAGTCAAAGTCGACTTGAAGGCAACTAACAACAACAACAATTAGCAGTCACTCCCCTTTTATTCCACTAAGTAAGAATTAAAGGTTTCTCTGATCAATAAATCGTTTCTTTCCTCTCTGAGCTTCAGTGTGTATTTATGAAAAATGAACACTGAGATTGGTCTGGTTAGGATAAACTGGACCATGATAAAGAACATGCTAAAGTGCTAAAGAGGCATCTGGGGGATATTAGGGACAATAAGAATTACTTTTAAAAATAATTTCCCCCACTTAAAAAAAAAAAAAAGAGCTGAGATTATGTATCTCAACCTAGTGATTTTGGGACTTACAGTGTAGTTCCCAAGGGCAGTAAGAATTAATAGTAAGTCTATAGGACTTATACTTTAATAAATAAGATTAGAAAGTTTTTTCTAAAAAGACCATTTCAAAAGTCAAGGAAGAAAACAAGAACAATGACAAAAACAACAACAAACAAAAAAGCAACAGTCAAAAAGGAAAAAAAAAAAAAGCCAGCTGTCAAACTCAATTGCATGTAGGTTCTTCGAACACCTGAAAACACACTTGGATTGAAAAATACCTTAAGAAATGGTTGCTAGGGAAAATCAGTAGCAAAGTAAGTACTAAGAAATATCCAAATTGTATGGGATTCACTGTTAGGAACTGCAAGCAGAACTATGAATACATTGCAAATGATAAACACAAACTTAACAAAAAAGTTTTTCCTGAGGATACACTTTACAATCACAGTTCTCCTGCATATTTATGAAATAATTGTCTGTAGCTACTTAAAAACTGCTCAGACTCCAGAAGCTGAAAAATGATCGTTAGCAGTCTGGGCTAAATAATTTTTATTTAAGTCGATGGTCAAAGAAGAGTGAGGTGGTGGGGAATAACAGGAAGAAGTTATTTAGCAGAGAATCAGGGATTTGATGCAAACACATGTAGGTGTTCTGAATCCTAGTGTTATATGTAGAAAAAGACATCCAAATGGTAAAGTGCTGTATGGAGTCAATCGTATGGAAGAAAGAAAATATTTTAAGGATAAAAGTGACCAGAGCCAGTTGGGGGACATTCAGGGACAGCGGTGATCTTAGTAACATGGTTATGTCAGGGAAAAAAAAAAAATTAGAATTCCCATCGTAAATGACACATGGGGTGGGGTGGGGGGAACCTAGTAGGCATCTAGGAGAACATTTTATAATTTGTCAAGATATAAATACCAGCACCTGATTTTACCAAAAATTTCACAAAACAAACTGATTATTGTATCTAGCTCTGGGAGACAAACACATTCCCTTTGATAGAGAATCAAGGCTCCTTCCTTCAGAGGGAGAGAACTGGGTGATGCAGCAGCAGGGGGAAACTTGTGAGAGATTTCCCAACTAGCTGCCAAGTCAGGTCCTCAGACTCCTACTCCCCCCCAACGCTGTGATTCAATGTCTTGCATGGAGAGGTTTAGCTTACATCTCTATGCACTGAATGTTCGCATCACATACCTTTTCCTAAGTTATTTTTTCCCTTACATAAAAAACAAGAAACTAGAAGCAGATTATATAGAACGGAAGAGCAAGAGAGAACATGACACTGACAGGGTAAAAGGAAGATCTATATTACACAGGAGTCTAAGAAAATGAACCAAAAAGTTAAAATTTGGTGGTCTTCAAAATCAAACCATTTCTATGTGCATTCACTCAATGAAACCACACCTGTTTATATAACCCAAAGTAAACAAACTACTGCACTCAAATGTACTTTGAGCTCCTCAAAGTAAAGATGTGGCAAAGATCCACAGCAAAGCTGATTGTGAGGCCAAAGGCACCAATTCCATCCCCAAGTTGTTGGTGGTGGGAGGATCCCATTCATGGTCACACTCGATTACACTCGACATCTGGAGTGACAAGTTAGCTGTCTTGGGTGTGGTGGATTTTTTAATATGGAAAACTAGCACACGACTCATCATTACTGAAGAAGATGGATTATGTCTCATAACTGGGGTTTGGCAGGGCACAATGGCACAAAGAAGAAATGCTGTGAGTACTGGCTCATCTTTCTCTTCCCACTGAGGGGGCTCTTCCTGTTACCTAGGAGTCTCTCAACCACCCTGTTGCCTGGTGCTACAATATGCCTGTCTTCACACAACGCTATCTGAAACAACAAGTATTCTTTGTCTGGTTTGTTCAGCTTCTGGAACACATTTTTCTCCCCTATCTTCTGGAAAGGTGAAGCTAATCCTCTATCAATAACCAGCTTTTCTGCCAAAAGACAATCCCTATTCTAAACACAAAAAAATTCATTTTCTGGGGTCATGAGACTTGAGAGGTTTGGATGACTCACAATCAGCAGCAAAGAGTGTATTTCAAAATACTTTCACACTCTGGTTCATGAAAATTCCCACTTATGGGGACTTGAAAATGCAAAGTTTAATTTGCATGCAACCTTCTGAGAGATACTTTTCACAAGGCTGCCATTTTGAATGGTTAATTTAATAACAAACAGGAAATCCTCTAGTCACACTGATGTGGAGGAGTGGCACCTAGGAGGGAGTTAGGTTCTCAAATCAGCATATAGAGTGATTGGCAGTTAATCAAAATTGTTTGCAAAAATTCCTTAAGAAGGGCTATGTTGGAACAAGGCATCCTGTTTCGTATTAAGTCTGCCACAATCAAGTTTTCCTCCACAGATAGGAATGGAAGCCAGTATTGGCTGACTACTAGATGCAGTGATTGTCTTGCATTCAAAGGACATGTTGGATGAAAAATGTTTCTGTTTAAACAATTGAGTTACTCTCAGCCAGACAAGGTGCTTACACTGGGAAAGAATGCAGGAACGAGACTCACGGAGCGAACTGCAGATCCAGGTTTCCTATCTTACCCTTACCCAGGACAATGGGGTATTTACTCATAGAGTGGTTGGGCAGGCCTCAATGCCTACACTATTTTAATTATATTTTTCTTTTTTTTTCCTCTTTGCCCCAGATTGTAAGGTTGAACCTGCATGTGGTAAAAGTATATATGACATGATTCCACCATGTAGTAAGTCTGTAATGTGACACATACCACATCAGCACTTTCATTACCACCTGTTCTTTGGTAATCTTAATACAACCTTTTACTTCAAGAGAAATACCACTGATTTTCAGTTACACATTTCATTTTCCAAAGTGGTGGTAAGAAAAAAAAAGAAAAGAAAGAAATGTTATACACGAGTGGTCTCAGGTCAGCAGTTTCTTCACCTGGTGTTCTCATCACCACTCATGAGGAAAAGTTGGAGTTTTCTATACAGAAACCCACATACCTAACAAGAAGTTACAGTAAAATAATTTCACTAGGGCTGATCTTTATTAAAAGAAGTCTTAGGAGGTATTTAGACAGAATGGTAATGCAGGGTAACCTACCCACTAAATCCCTATTCTAAAGACAAAAAATTTCAGTTGCTATAACTATAAATTTGTCACCATTTTAAAGTTTTACATTAAATTAAGTAATAACTGGAAAAATATTAAGCAATGAAGAAAAAGCCATATAGGATTTATATTTTAAATTCTGAAGAAATTATTGCAAGTCAAACAAAACAAAACAAAAAATGTTACACAAGTTTGCTGTGGCACTGAAAACAATTCTCCTTCACAAGAGAATCCGTGTCTTCCCTGATTCACACAGTGAATTATGGAGGAAAACACCAATTCTCCTTTTCATAGGAGTGAATTAATGAATTATCTGGGAACAAGAAGTGCCCATAAGAAAACAATCATGAATTGTATTCACCTTAATTTCCACTTTAGAAGGGTAAAAAAAAGTTTAAAAAAATGTCATTGGCCTACTTTAAGGACGCTCAGGAAGAAATAACTAAATATTCTGTATATGTAAAGTACTGGGGAGAAAAATCTCAGTCATTAGAACCAGTACAGTTAACTTACCATTACTGTGGAATGCTTCTAATGCCGCTAATAAAAAACAGTAAACAAAAAGAGCTGACTGTTGTTTCTGTTTAAAAAATAAAATAACAGATGCCCTTTTGTATGTAAACAAGTCCTAAGAATGTAAGTTTTTCATGATTTGCAATTAATTAAATCCTCACTTCCTACTACAAAGCTTGCATAAGAAATCATACCTACTTATTACACTGGCAGTGGAGGAGAGCGTATGAACAAATACTCCTTCTTGCAACAAACAGGAAGCATCACTCATATTTGTGGACTAAATGGTTTAATCGTTTTAGAATAGTACATGATCAAGGAGAGCAAGGGAGAAGTGGTAGAACTCATAATAAACTGGACTGTACTGTCTATGTAGCTGTCACTAGCCACATGTAGCTACTGAGCACGTGAAATGTGGCTAGTGCCACATGTGACATTATATTTTGGATATACTGAGTAAAATAAAATATATGAGAATGAATTTCACCTGTTTCTTTTTACATTTTAAAATGCTGCTTTTGAAAAATTTAAAATTACACATGTGGTTTCTGTTACATTTCTACTGGGCAATGAGAAGGTTGCTTTCAGTGGAAATTACAGTATAATAATCATAAAAATAATACTTGGAACATTTTCTATTAGTGTGTATATGAGGTCCCTGGAGAAAGCCATCTTGCTTGGCAGACGGTCAGCGAAAAAGAGGAAAACTCTCAAT